ACTCAAACTCGTTAGCATTGCGACAACTTTCCAGACGGTCATCCATTCAAGATCCATGAAGTTTCGAACTTATTTAACCTCCATGAACACGCAAAACCTGTCTAAGTAGTTTGGCTACCGACACAGCAGAATATCGTAGAAGTTTGAATTATTATTGTTCACTTTCAATCTTTTTACTGAATCATGTAATTAAAAAAAACATCACTTCCGAAAAACAGGACAATAATAACCGGTCATGCCAATGTGGCATCTCTATGAAAGACAAAATCGGCACGAAACTGCTCGTAGAATAGACGGATGAAACAAATATTTGGAATAAGGCTAGAGCTTTTTTTAATTACTTTTATTTCTTTTATCGACGTACTTTATTTTTTTTCACAGAACATACTTGGATAAATTAAAAATCTATGAATACTTAAAAATATCCTTTACCGTGCATTTGAAACAGTCACATTTTCCGCTGTGTTTGTAGTTCGTTTCACGATTGTTCAGGCTCAAAAGAATTATGGCAGAACTGTCTGGAAAATGCTTTAAACATTGCACTTATATTTAAAAATGCAGAAAATATGAAAAAGGTAATACACATCAACATGATTCCTGTAGATTTGCATTTGTACCGTTCGTAACACATTTTGGGATTTTCAAATGATTTTTTTAGGAGAGGTTGTAATACTTGATTCAGTAAAAACTCCTCTCTACAAAGGTTTTTAGCTACCAAAAGAAGGCTTATGGTATTAAAAACAATTTTAAAAGTAAAAAATGAAATTATAGTAAGCGACATTTAAACATTTTTCTACAATAAAAGAAACTTTCAAGGCAATATTAAATACGTCTTATCACTACCGGTAGCTGCTGTGTTACGGTAAACTGACAATCGACAGTGCCGTCGATTGAAAAATTAAGGGGGGGGGGTCCATTCCGTCTTTTACTGTACTTTCCCGGTCATATCCTAGCCTATGCCACACTAACACAGACTAACAGAGGAGAAAACGACACATCCAAACAAACTGAATATGCTGATACAAAACGTACAAATATGTACGCCAGTAACGGCGAAATGTATTAATGCTTCTTTTTCGATCGGTTTCCCTTGACTCGCTTCCCAATCGTCATATGCAGCTTTAGTGTTTCTGACGCAAACGAAAACTATTATATACTTTTCTAGAAAGTTATTTCAACATTGCAAATTTATCGCATCAATATTTTTCGTATTAAACGTGCATCAAGTAATGGAAACTTTTCTCTGGTCACGGTACTTCACCAGCTTACAACAGAAATGAATTTCAGAACCTTTTCCCCCTTCTGCATCTTTTTCTAATTCAACTGAAATCCGTATTTTTAGTCCTGCACGTTTCATTCCACATTTTTGGTATATTTACTTTTATATTTTAATCTTCAATTACACTGCAACTTACGGACATCAACACACTTCTGGTGGTATATTACACGTGATGCTTGGCCTTCAGAGGTGCCAGTAATTAGTGACTCATAACCGAGTAGGCGAAGAAGCCTGGCTATCGAAGAGGATCGCCAAGGGTAACATCTCGGTGGACAGTAGTTTCCTTCCAAGTTTCCTCTAGTGCACTTTTCCTCAAACACATGATATATGCAGGTCATACAAAGTAATGTGCACAGAATCTCACCGGATTGTTGAGGAAGGCACATAATGCCCTTCATCAATTAATTTAGACTCATACAGAGGATAAATAATATATAATGAGTTACATATAAATGGGTGAAAACCAGAACGGTGTAAGTGACATTATATCAATTCTGAGAAAATGTGTTTATTTTAGGCTATATTTCAGTGGCACTGTATTTTTGGTGTTTTAATAAACAACTGAACTGCCGTGGTTTTATTGATGAAACAAAGCGCCACGACTTTACAGTAATACTGACTTAAACAGATTTTTCTGAATTTATAAAATGTCACTTATATCGTTCTGGTTTTCACTCATTCATTTGATAATAAACTGTACATAAGTACATACAAATATACTACTCAACATCTTTGAACCTTTTCGGTTCGAAAACTGCTTTCTTGGTCTTAATTGATCTCCTACTGAAATTTGTTATCGCATATCCATTGTTGTTGCCTAACGTAGGACATTTTTTTAGTAACCGAGGCACTGTAGAACAATATATTTTTAGAAAGGAGTTTCTTGTATTCTGAGTACATAATTTAGAATATCAACCTACTATGAAAACAGACGAAAAAACGTAACATTGAGATTTAAATTCTAGATTTTTACGAAGTGTAACGGCAAAAGACCTAAAACAATAATATAGTTCAACCATCGAACACACTACAACGAAGTTTTCAATATGTCGCTGATAGAGCTCTCTCCAAACTCGAGCTTTGGAGAAGTCGAGCCAAGGATTAGATAAAGCTCCGCTACTACGTTGGGCTTCACTAAAAATATGACGTCACAGTTCACCCACGACATTTGAGATACTTTAGTTTGCACCTTTCAGCATAGCTATTCCAAAAATATTAAAGGCAATCAAAACAACACATGTAAGAGAACCGCAACACGTTAAGAATAACTGAATACACATTGCATTCCCACTTCTGACTTATGATTTCTATTTGGCGCGTCCAGATATTGGTTTGGACAAATTGGAATTTCATATCTCAACTTTTAAAACGTTAATTTTACATTGTTACAATACATATTTGTAAAATTAGAGGCAATCAATATCTTCATTTATGTAAAAGTTTTGATTTTTCCGCGTGACACTTTGCCGTGCTTTGCTCTTCTACCACGTACGATATAGAACATGACTGTCATCATGAGAATGGTAATATTGAAGCAAGTGGTATATTGCACCCGTTCTATACTCACAAAAACAACAACCAATCTTGACTATAAATTTATTTTACCGTTCTCTTGGAGAAGGCAGTAAAACAAATATTTTACATATCTGAGGTCATATTTTGATCCCATCGACAAATACTCCAGCTTTTACACAAATTATTGTTTCACAGAACCCATCCATATTTCCGTGATATTTAAATCCCGCTTAAACAATATAGTGAAAGACAATGAGAGACGATGATCCACAGACTCCGTATTGACTAATATAATAACGCACTCATAATGCGTTTGAGCGCATAATGCACATGCACGCACGCGTTTACCTAGTCAGAAGCCTACACAACACCGGAATACGCAATAGCTAGGTGTTCAACACGAACAGAGTGGGAAAGAAGGCATTATAATGAACTGAAGAGTTTGAAGAGAAAATTCAGATCACGAGATCTGAAAATTAAAATAATAATAGTAATAATAATAAAAACGCGTAAAATCATGAATAATCATTGCAATGGATTGGATGAAAGTTAAATAATTACCGGGGGTATAATTAAAGCGATTTCTACGTCGAAAATTAGAAAAATAACTGCAATTAAGAAGAATCGTAGTGAAAATGGTAAGCGTGCGGATCTTTTTGGATCGAATCCGAACTCAAATGGTGAGATTTTTTTTAGATCTAATAAGTTTTTATTTGATAATAATATTAGAACGGTTGTTAAAGTTAAGGTGAATGCCGTTATTAGGAAGAGTACATTTAATTTTTTTTAAATTTAAATTTTCTAAAACTTTCAAGTTTCACAGTCACATCAACATAAAGTTATATGACAATCTCTGTAAGTAATAAATTATAGGAAAAATTCTGATAGGAGATAATGGAAATAAAATAGGTTGATAGAGATAGAAGAATACTGCAGAGTGGAATCAAATAAACACGCCAGAGTACCAACTAAACCACACCGAAGGGTTAAGGACATCATAAACTTTCAGATGAGTATAATACGGCAAAAGAAAAGCGCAACAAACTCAAGCACGTACGGGCCCGCAGGCTGTCATCATCACGTGATTACAAATCACAACAGCAGTGGGCCAAGCAGAAGGCGCGAAGCGAAGGCAGCTAACGCGCCGCGTCGGCCAGTGGGGGTGGTGGGCCGGCACCGCTCCGCGCCGCGCCGCGTCGGAGCCACGCGTGCGCCGTGCCGTGTGAGTGGCGCTTGATGAGTTTCGATAATCGATAAGTCGTGTGTGAGGTAAGGAGCTGGGAATAGCCAGCGGCCGGACGAGGAGGCCGAGCGGCCGGCAAGGCGTCGGGGGCGGGGGCGGTTGTTGTCGGTGGGGTAAGCGCGAGCGCGCTTGCAACACTTGCAGAGTCGCTCGCGCCGAGCGGCACAGACTCCTCTGGCTCCGGCTCCGGCTCGGCTCGGCTCGGCTCCGGCGCAGGCTCGGCACCGCCGCGCAGCAGCCATAGGTCACCGTGTTCCCACGGGAAGGCGTGCCGCCTCTGCCAACGCCGCGCCGGACGCCGCCGCTGCCGCACACACCGGGAGCCTCGCGATTCGGAGCAAGCGCGAACCTCCGATGGCGCCTTTACACGCCGGACAACACCCCACCGCGCGCGCGCAGTCGCCTGTCTCGTTACCCGCCCCCTCCCAGACTCGACATTCGATTCAAACTATAAGGTATCGATTCCCGACGCTCCAAAAACAGGTCTTCAGGCGAACTCCCTTCGAAATGCACGATACATCACGTATAGACGTCATTCAGTAATTTACATAAATGAAACATGTGAAAGAAAGGGCTTGTGCTCTACGAATCTGCCATAGAAAACAAACTGTGCACCTCAAGAGGTAGAGTAAACTATGTATTTATATACAGTAAATAGATTTCGACATGATGCACGGAAAAATCGCATTTACTCCATTTAATTAGTTTCTTTTTACCCTTACAATTTAACATTCGAGAAAAATCAATGAATGTGAGCATGAATTACAAGACAATAAATCATAATCAAATTTCACCATGTATTTCTATCGAATCATTTAACAAATTCCCTGTTAAATCAGCAATAATTGATTTCTATAATTGATTCAGAATCTGCAAAATTATAGGGAAATGAAATTGTCAATTGAAAGAGCCACAGTACATTCATATATACGAAGTAATTATTTTGAATAAATCGTTACTTACCAATCACATTTCCGGAGCACGCGATGATATTTCTGAAACAGAAAGAAAACCTCATTAATGGGGCACAAAGTTGAAATACACTGCGTTAAAATTTAATTAACAGGTTTGGGGAAAAGGAGATACGGCATGCTCTAATCAGAGTTTTTTTGCAATTCTTTACGCCAACGTAAAGGTGTCAACCACATTTCATTTCCAGACTTGTTAAACGCATTTTTTCAACGAAATGGTCATTTCTCATTTGTTATTTGTGCATATACTTTAAAGGCAAGCCGATACTTAAAGTACACTTCATTGAAAACTTATCATACCCCAACCATTGATTTCATTAATACAAAAATTCCAAAAGTAATAGGGAGCACAAAAAGAACGCGTAACATCTATCCCCGAAAATCAACACAAAATTGGAAAAGCTAACAGCTGAAGCTGTTGACCAGCAGCATCGACTACATGACGAGAGAAAAGGGGGACATGAATGCCGCAACTGTGACGCAAACGCCACGAGGGAGCGTCGAAACCTCCAAATCACCGTAGCAAAGACGTCCGACGAGAGGCAGCAGGACAAGACAGGCATGGCGCGGCGCGGCAAGGGTGAGGGGGAAACCGCAGGGGGCAGGGCACACACGCCCGACGCGAGGGCGCCGGCTGTGAGCAAGCGGGACTGACATGTGCGCCAGTGAGCAAAGTAGCCGGTGGGCGGCGGGGCGTCGCCGCCGAAACGTCGGACGTTTTCCAGCGCGAAAGTCACAGCGGCACCCCGAGGCAGGCCGCGAGCCAGGGAAGGGCCCAGCCAAGGACGTGAGCACGGCCGACTTCCTCTCCAAGCGCCGCCGCGTGTCAGCGCGCCCCGCCCCACCCACTTTTCCCCTGCCCCCCCCCCCCCCCCGCCAAGCACGCGTTCCTCGGAAAGCATCCCCAGGCTTTATACCCAGACAATTTGATGTAAGTTTGTACTTTCTCCTCTTTGAGGCACAGATAAAATACAGGTAAAGGCTAATCTACCGTACGATTTATGATCGGACCGCTGAAGGCCATTCATTACTACATTTCAATTTCTTTTACGGCACACTATCGAATAATCCTATTAAGAACACAGAAACAACATTCACTCGCAGACTGCTTCGTTTTTACAATAATTTATGTTCAAGGTGGAATTACTCTTTCGTAATTGTTTGATTTAATGAATTTACTAATTACAGTATTTATGACCCGAACATCACAGAACTATTCAATTATACGAAAAGTGGAAAAAATATTTAAATTCTTTTAGCCCTTCGCCGAATCACATGTAGCTCCAATGAATTACGTTGATCTTTGACTCAACCAACGATATTCTAATAAATCTCAAAAGTACGTTGGCCATTAAAACGAGTTAATTTTTTTTTTTAACAGCAATATCAGCTACCATTATTCCTATTTCCACAAGAAAGAAAAACAATGCTGCAAATTGCCAAAATTTTCCACACAACATAAAATCATTTTTTTGTGCATCGTTAATTTATATTCCGGAAAGCAACATTAACCGTTAATACAGTAAACAAATTTGGTCAGCATCAAATATCCACCTAGAATCCCACAAAAAGTGTCTAAGACTGAATATAATGAGAACCTCGCAATTCAAAACAAACGTAACTAGGATACAAAACTCTCTTGTTTGCGCACGCACGCACGCACGCACACACACACACACACACACACACAGGGCAAATCATTCCACGATAACCAGTAGCGCGACTTCCTCGTATTTCGTGACTCAAATACTGGGTCGAGCAACGGGAAACGAGGGGCGGGAGGCGCTGCCTGCCCCCGACCGACTCATCCATCCTTGAGGCGCCGTCGACCCCGACGCCGAGCATCCTCGGAGAGAAACGCCCGTCCCCTCCCGCGTCGCGCCGCGCCGCGTCGCCGCCTCGCTGCAAACGCAATTAGTATGCGGCGCCGTTCGCGCACCCGCCTCTCCAATTAAACGCGACACAAAGCCTAAATTTCTTTCGCTGCTCGCGCCGTCGCCGAGGCGCGCGGGGGTATGTCCGGAGCTCATTAACGTGGCGCCCGACACGGCCGTAATCAGGCGCGGAGGACGGGGTGTGGCGCCGGACGGCGCGCGCGGCCCCCAGCCCGCCCCGCGGCTCGCCACCGCTTTCTTGCTTCCCTCCGATTTCTTCCCGGAGTTCCGTAACTGCCGTGGAGAATCAGGGCGCAATGCCTCTCAAAACGTCGAGACCCGTTGACAATGGGCACTAGAAGTGGGCGGAGAAGAGGTTGCGCAATTAGGAGTCTGCGTGAGACTAGCGTAAACTAAGGTTGAAAGTAAGGAATTACATTACAGACATTTGAATTCCAAGCATTTCCTTTTGGGAGGCTTGCGACAATCTACGCAATAGCCAAACATATATAAATCTCACAATTGTAATGAACAAGCAACAGACAATATCGTTGACCAATTTAATTATACGGCCAAATGAACTTCGTAAGCGAATGGTATTGAACACAAACGTTTTTGGCATTTATTTACGATCATTAATACCAGATAATGTACTACTGTCCACACATTTGGGAAGTATTTCCAGACGCTTTTCTGCCTACATTGCGACTCATGAGCGAGAGCTAATCCCATCTCCCAACTCTTCCACTTCCCTCTCGGGCTTTCGTCACGGACGGCTTCGCTCCTGAGCATTATCGAGAGCCCACACTTCAAATCCGCACTGGTACTCAAGTACGTCCGCTTTCTGTTTGATAATGAACACAGCTGGAAAGCATTCAAGTGTATGTCCTAGGCAGTAGAGAAAAAAAGTTTTCAAGAGAATAAGAGGGGCGACGTGAAGAGGGACTTCGGAAGTAACAAGACAATCTGAGTGCGAATGGTTTCTTACTCAAGCACGAAGTTCTCCCTGAATGTTTGAAGAGTTACAAACAACTTCGGAGAGAGAATCTAAAAATGTCAGAATTATGATATGAAGGGGCCACCACAACTAAAAGCGAAATTAATTCTTGCTGTTCAAATGAAACAAACGGACGAAACCCTACGATTTTTTACGGTAAATTAAAATGTCAACAAAAACAAAAATATGAGAGATCTGAAAGTACTATTGGTAGAAATTATGAAAGATGTAAGTTCGAAGGGACGATGTACAAATTTCCCAAAGCAAGAACTACGGATGGAAAGGTAGAATGTTAAGGATAAGACGAAGAAGATGGGTCAGTAACCAAGGTCAGTCCAACGAGCTGGATTCATGGCATCGTGACCTGAAAATGCCCGGAGCATCCATCATTCCTCCCCTCACCATCTCCACACTACGGGCGGCCTACTGTGCCCCATTGAAATTACGGCATCACTCTTGTGATTCGCGTGTGGTCCCGAGAACGATGTGAAAGATTGTACTGAAAATCCTACAAAATGAACAGTCAGAACGAAAAAGTTTTTATGAAGTAGAAATATTAATCCCCAAACGCATATTATCCGACAATTAGTAATAAGAAAACGAGACAAGTATTCTTGTCCCAAAAGACAGAAAATTTTCGAGACAAGCGTGTGGCGTTGGTCGGATGTAACGACACCCTCCCGCTCACGCACTTAGTCTTCTCAGAGTTTATCTGATCGTGCCGCGTGGCTCCGGCCACTGTTTTAGACAAGCCTGCAATCGCCTACGCCAAGAAGTTAAGGCAAAAATCAATAATGGTACACGGCTAAACTATATTTCAACGACACCTAACAAGCCGAGAGAAAGAGAGATATATTGTCATGAAACGTGAGAGTCCCGACAAAATTCTACACTCAACACGAACAATCCATGAACCCCATCAGGTAGGCACGAACGAGCAACTCACTACACATTATTCGCTACGCCATATTAAACACGAGCAGCACCTCCAAGAGGCTGGACCCGACGAAACGAAACAATTTCTTGGGCGCAAGCGCCGCGCGGCTCGAGGCGCATCGGGCGCCGTCGGAGCGCCGCCTAGGCAGCCCCCTGCAGCCGCGCGTGCGGCGGGCTGCGGCCCGCAGGCGTTCGCTGGGCCGCGTCGCGTTGCCACGGCCGGCAGCCCCACCGCAACCGGGGCCGCCCACGGCCCACGCCCCTCCGCGCCATCTTTCAGGCCGCTAAAGTCGCGGCCCGCGCGGAGGCTCTTCTGGCGAGAGTTTTACAGGCACTGGAAGCCGAGACGTGAAAGAACGCCCGTAGAGAGCGGAGCTTTTTGCACGTACAATCCACCGTTTTCGAATTTGCAGTGAAACGAGGGTGGCCAAGGAAACAGCAAAAATTGGATCTAAACGGAATGTGTATAAAAACTGATGTATAACGCTTATCGGTAAAGATCCTCAATGCACTTGAAAAATCAAATGAGAGCAATATTTCAAAGATTATCAGTACGACTGTACTTGTACAGCTAGCATAAGAAATCGTTTTTATCATATGCGAGTCCGTTAACTGATGAGGGATTGACCATTTCCCCCGCAACAGTGTGAAACATTTGAAGAGAAACCTGAAAAAAAAAGTTTTGGAGAGCGGGGTTGAAGCACCTACAATAGGTCATCTATAAAGTGGATGTTAATTTTCACTTTTTTTAAATTTTTTCAGAAGGGGTGCTCAAGGTACGTCCTGGTGAATCGCTGTGAAATAGTGAAATACTGCGACACTTTCCAGCATAACATGAATACTTATGACGGAATTAATCAGATAATTAAACTTCATTGTTATAACGAAAGACTTTAAAAAATAATTATCGACACTTTGATGAAACTTTTTAATATATCGATGGTCGAGCCAAGCAACTGTATAAGCTTTAAAATTTCTTGTTCTTATGAACCTGCATAACTGAAATAAAAATTTGAAAATAAAAATACCTAACGAAGGCGCATGGCTAAGTAAATATAACATATTATAGATTCATATAATTAGTTCCTGCATTATAAAATCATTTATTGCGCAGATGAAAGACTTTCACAAGTCTGATTTCATTCTTTACAGCAAGTTCATTATTGAATGCAAAACAATGCAACTTTTATAAAATTGGAATGTTCTACATCAAAAAC